TGGGGAGAAATGTGCTGCTGGTTACGTTTATGAGACAATCAGCTGATAACTATTATTATATTAAATTATATTAAAACCCTTGATCCTCACCTGACTATGGCTTTGTAAACAGTATCCATGATGTGGTTTATAATGGACTGTGGTACAGAAACAGTGACAATGTTACACACTCTTGGCTTACTCTGGCTATTCTCTGCTGTCTCAGCCGACGAGATGTTTGTCCCGTTTTAGCAACCATAGCTTCTTCGAAAGGGAGGGGTGAGCAGTGGGCTGAGCCCTTAGTGCAAACCTGGTGCAAACTCGCAACCGAACCGCTAGATGTCGCTAAAAATCCCACATTGCACCTTTAAAGTGTGTAAAACAAACTTTATGTTATTTTTGTGACAAGAAGACATTCCTACAACTTCTGAAAGTCTATCAGTGTTTTACAGTAGCATAATAAGTGTTATTTTAACATCAGTGTAAACCACGGGGTCAGGGCCGGCGCGTCCATATAGGCGAACTAGGCAATTGCCTAGAGTGGCGCTTTTGTAAGGGTGGCAAAATTTGTGCCAACCGGGAATGAACAATTCACAAACTAGGTTATTTATATGATTTACTGAGCTGCGTCCGCCCCGCTCTCACAAGTCATGACTGATTTAGCTTCCGCCGCCCCCCAGCACCGCGAGCCCCTGCCTAGTCATGACTAGGTAATAGGAAGTTCATTTTACTGACTCTCTGAGACATTCGAGTCATTTGGTTTATTTAAGTCGCTTTAAATTTTATAATTTTAACAGCCAAAGTCCCCGATCACATCCACCTACACAATTTTCATCATATTCTGAATTAAGAAATCATAATGCAGTAAAAACTTATTTACAGGGAACATAAATGATTACTTTATCTTCCGAGTCTTACGTTCATTTGTTGTGTGACATACGCAATGAAGTCGTTCATCAATCACCTATCTGGGACTAATGCAGCAGGATGTCGAAACGAAATATGGCAGATTATTGTTATTATTATGATAATAAAAATATGATAATAAGAGTGTGCCAGGAGCGTTCACAGCCGAGGAGACTGACGTTCTTGTCATGGCCGTAAAAGACAGAGAAGTGACATTGTATGGAGGTAAGTTATGTCCTTATAGTACATCTGTGTTTTGCCAAACAGGTCTGATCCGTCATTACTACAATTAGCCTGAAAATTTTGGGTACACTAACTGTAAAAAGTGATTCTGAGTTTTAGTCAGGTGGACAAATAAAATCATGCCCTGTCAACTTGCAGTGTCTCACTACACAACATGATGAGTTATAACAACCTCAACTTGAAGGGAAATGGAAAACTTAAAATAACGTGTTCACATAACAACAAAACATAGGTTCTCTCAATTTTCTGCCTCATGCGCATGTGCCAGAAAGTCTGCGTCATTGATGACATACTATTTTAACGAATTTGAGCAAGACGCGGCATCGCCATTTTCTCCACAAGAACAAGAAGACGAGATCACGAGACAAACTGCTGATGCGAGAAAGAAGACGAAGGAGCTGTTATTTCACCGACTACAGATGGATTTTTATAGTAAGTATACACTGATTTGTTCTTTCATGTAAAAATGTGGCTTGTTTCGTTTGCTGCTGTCGAGACGTGAGCAGAAAGATAAGTCGTCTTTGACTAGTATACAGTAAGTTAATGCTGGCAGAGGGACTAAAGTTCTCCGTCGCTGCGACGGAGAACGGTTAAAGGGTTAGTTCACCCAAAAATGAAAATTAAGTAATTAATTACTCACCCCCATGCTGTACCAACCCCGTAAGACCTTCGTTCGTCTTCAGAACACAAATGAAGATATTTTTGATTAAATTTGAGAGCTGTATAACTACCACATTGGCTGCCTAAGGGACTGCCTCTTGACGGCCCAGAAAGTCAATAAAGAAAATGTTTAAATATCCCAAGTGACTACCGTGGCTCAACTATATGTTTATCAAGCGTTTACTTCCTTAGATTTCCACGACGCATGCGCGAGAATTGCGATCTGCTTAAGATCGCAATTCTCGCGCATACGTCGTGGAAATCTAAGGAACTCTCGTCTCAGGCCTACAAGGAAGAAAAGAAATAGTCGAATAAACTCGTTATTTTTGTTTGTTTTTTCGCACAAAAAGTATTCGCGTCGCTTGATAAACATATAGTTGAGCCACGGTAGTCACTTGGGATATTTAAACATTTTCTTCATTGACTTTCTGGGCCGTCAAGAGGCAGTCCCTTAGGCAGCCAATGTGGTAGTTATACAGCTCTCAAATTTAATCAAAAATATCTTCATTTGTGTTCCGAAGACGAACGAAGGTCTTACGGGGTTGGTACAACATGGGGGTGAGTAATTAATGACTTAATTTTCATTTTTGGGTGAACTAACCCTTTAATTGCAGCAAGTCCATGACGGACATCCGTCAATTGCAGGGTTCCCATCTGTCCTTATGTCTTAAATTAACTTTTCATAATTTTAAAGGGCACCTATTATGCCCCTTTTTACAAGATGTAATATTGGTCTCTGGTGTCCCTAGAATGTATTTGTGAAGTTTCAGCTCAAAATACCCCACAGTTAATTTATTATAACCATTTGAAAATGTCATTTTGGGGCCTGCTTAAAAATGACCTGTTTCGGAGGTATATGGCTTTAAATGCAAATGAGCTGCATATCCCCGCCCTGCCTTTGGATGAGGGCGTAACTTGATACCTATGGCAGTCGGTAAGCAGAAGGGCTAAGAGAGTGAGAGACGCGCTGTTTGACCAGTACGTCTCGGTATGGTTATTTGATACATTTATGTACTTTAGCGTTGTAATCGTGTTCCCTTTGAAATGATGGGCATGTGCAACACACACACACAGACACATTAAACACTAATGCTGGCGCATTTTTTTTGAAATTACATACACATACTGTGATAAAGTTTGCTACGTACAAGCGAAATTACATTTATGCGAGGGACGGGGACCTGTGGCGTCATGTTTACTTGTCATACGGGTGCTTCTGTGGCAAATGTGAGGAGATGGCTAACATACAGAACAACAACATATATGCAGTTTTAATACAATATCTTTAAATATATATAAACGTGTGGTTACACACTATACAAACAAGGTTTAAATTATATAGCCTACACAGACATCCTACGATGACAACAACTTTAGACGCATTTGTTGTTGAATTGGCTGACATTGACTGAAAAGACTATTTGCTCAAAAATCATAAAACACACTTACTGTTACTGGATGTGACGGTGGATCGCAAACAGTAGATGAGGATTCCACAGTTGAGGATTAACTTTTAAGCTACACACTGGAAAAAATGCCCCTCCAAAAATAAGCAAAAAAAAAATTAATACAAGATATTTTTGCTTGTAATAAGCAAAAAAATCTGCAAATGGAACAAGTGAAAATTCTCTTGGTAAGATTTCTTGAAATAAGACATTATATTTAAGCCTTAAAAGATATGAGTGATCTTGAAATTAGCAGGGAAAACTCATTTTTAGCTATATTTTACTAGTATTGTGATGTTTTGTGTCTCATAATAAGCTTGTCATGCTCAAAAATAGCATTTTCCCCTCAAAAGTAGCATTTTCTTTTGTCATCCTCTTTGTTTCAAGTGTATTTAACTAATTTTTAGTTCTATAATTGTTACACTCTTCTAGATATAAGTCACCACCAACTTGAAATAAGATTGGAAACTGGCATTTTGAGACAAAATGCCTTGAAGTTAGCATTCCTGACTCATATTAGGCAGTCCTCTTTTGCCATAATAAGCCATAATTTACCATACTGTAATCATCTCAAGTGTATACCTTCTTGTAAGCTCAACAAAAGTGACATGGTTCTAGATTCAAGACATTTTACCTACTAGATTTAAGACATTAACTACTGTTTACTAGACAGAAAAAGTGAAAAATAGACTTACATTTAACTTTTTTTATTTAATTTTTTAAACCGCAAAAATTCCCAGAAGACTGCACAAAACGGTAAAAGTATTTATGGAGCTGCAATATAAAAACATAGTAGAATATTTTATAGATTATAAATGAAAGATCTCTTTACCCTACTCCCACACCTAAACATACCGATTTTATAGACAATATTAAAGGGATAGTTCACTTTGAAATTAATTTTTGATGTTTTAGCTTACCTCAAGGGCATCCAAGATGTAGGTGTCTTCTTTTCCACAGTATTTTCAATTTTGACATTTTTCGGTCAAACCGTTGTTGTCTGTCAGTCATATAATGCAGGTATGGGGGTCCACGTCAAAGAGCATGCACAGAGAAGTCCAAATTAAACATGATTTAATGACTCGTAAATGTAAGTACACATTGATGGCCTAAGACACGAAACGAGCGTTTTGTGTGAGAAAACAAACAGTATTTATATAGTTTTTACCTCTTGTTCACAGCCATGTCAAACTGATCTGAATCAGATGTCAAACTGAACCGAACCGTGTCCAACATTACGCCAGAAGTGATCTCTCGCGCGTCAGCAACATCTGATTCAGATCAGTTTGACATGGCTGTTTACAAGAGGTAAAAACTATATAAATACTGTTCGTTTTCCCACCCCCTCCGCTCATTTCGTGTCTTTGGCCATCAGTGTGTACTTACATTCAAGAGTCATTAAATCATGTTTAATTTTGACTTCTCTGTGCATGCTCTTTGAGGTGGACCCCCTAAACCTGCATTATATGACTGACAGACAACACAGGTTCGACCAAAAAATGTCAAAGTTGAAAATACTGTGGAAACAAAGACACCTACATCTTGGATGCCCTTGAGGTAAGCGAAAACATATCAAAAATTAATTTCAAAGTGAACAATCCCTTTAAAAGGATAAAACGTAATGAACATAATGTGTAGGGCAATGGCAGTTTTATTAACAATAAAGCATTAAAACATAGTTTGAGCCACTAATCCTACCCTAACCCATTTCTTAAAACTATGTAACTAACGTTACAATTATAAATAAAAACAACAAACATAACGTTACATGTTTAAATCGCAATAATTTATTTAGTGAGAAAATGTCAAAACCGGTACCAAATAAATATCTTTCTTCTTGTTCAGCAGAAGAAAAAAATTCATAAAAAAACAACAACATATTATTGCAAATGAACAAAGTTGAATCAAATATGTTTCTAGAACAGTGATTAAAATTGGCTCGAATATGTTTTAGTATGTGACATGAACTCTGGTGTTGATGCACTCTAAAAACATTTAATATGATTTACTAACCTTTTTAAACTTAGAATATTGATTAAATTTTTAAGCAGTGAAAGCAATTACTTACACTGTATTAACTGAGTAAATGTTAGTAAAACAAATTAAATAGATCTGAGTAACTGCATTTGGTACATTAACAAATAAACTTGAGTAGAAATAATTGGGGGGAAACATTTAAAAACAAATAATTATGAGTAATATAAACTGTGTTTATATGGCAGTAATATTAACTTTTTTTATTTCCTCTAAACCTTTGTAAAATATTCCATACAACCACCAGCATAACTACATGACACGGCCTTTATTGTCAATTAATATCCTAACATTACAGCAAACATATTTTATTCTATTTTTAACACATAAGTTATACAATATTGACTACATCTAAACTCATGTAAGAAACATTTTCGATGTAAAAATTAAACATTTAGGCCTAAACATTAAAGTAATTCAAGTGTAATAACCGGTCTGTTATCCAGTATTCACCGGGTCAGCGCTGGTTCCCATGCCGGAGATGGACTCGCCTCTGCGGGGAAACTTCTAAATTTAGACCGCCGTCCTGCGTCACTCACAGCCGAAAAATGCTGCGACGCGACTGACTCCATAACCTGCCAATAAACAACCAGTGCACAGTTCTGAGGACATTTTATCATCCAAATTAGTTATATCCATTATCTTTAAGAATATAGTCGTGTGTTTTTTTTTATGCAAGGCCTTACAATCACGCGAAAAGGCAGGCGCAAGTCGACACTCGTTTAAGGTGAGTAACATTGCGTCTCTGTATGTTCTTTTTTCATTAAATAAAATTATTTAAAGCATATTAATGATTATACAGATAAAATAAAACAAACAAACCTTAATTTCAGTTGGAAATGCTCCAATTCTGCGCCGATGAGAAGAGAAGAGGAGAAGAGATCTGTTCTTTTCTGGACTGGGAGAGTTCAAACAGCGCGCAACCGCAAGTTCAAACAGCGCTCACTCAAGTTCAACCGTTGAGTTGTCGTCACGTCAGAGGGTGGGGAGGGGTGCGTTGTTGTAATCATAGACAGTAAAATACATTTTAATTGAGTAAACTTAATTAATTTCTTATGCGTGTTAAATAATAATATTAATTTTTATTTTAGAAATATTTGTGGTTCTTGAGACAGATCAGTTTAATCCAGTCTCAAATATTGTGATGGAAATTTCACAAATATTAGCTAAGTGTATTTTAAATTAATAATTGGTTAGTCAAAAACTAAATTAGCCTATTTTAGTGAAAAACTTAAATATAACTGTAAATTTCAGACAAAATTAATTGTTGGAGTTTTAGTCATTTATTTCGGTATGTTCGACTCAAACTATTGAGTAAATTATATTCAGTTTAGTTAATAAAGACTTCAACACTTCAACATTTAGGAAAGTTTTTTGTTTGTAGGTTGTACCATAGTAGTACTGTGATAAAGTTTAGAGAAATTGTCACAAATGAAAATGAAATCGATGCAGGATATAAAATGAAAACTATTGATATGTGAAATATGGAACTGCATCTTGTAGAACACATTCTAATAAAAATAATTTTGTAATTAAAATGTGCGCTTGCGTGTGTGTAGTTTAAATGTTGTGTTTTTAATCTAAGACAGATTATACAGTATGTAACCATGACTGATACAGGCATAGGCCCCTCGACTCAGTGCAGTAAATAAATCAATCAGTAGGCTGTACTTCCCTCATGCTGGTTCTTATCTTGTCCTCTGTTTATACACGTCCATGCTGGAAATTCATATTAAATTTGCATTTTTTTGTTTTTACTTCATGAAAATCTATATTGCTTTAGTTGTTTGTAGGACACATATTACATAATATGATTAAAAATACATTAATATTATGCAATTTATATATGTGGTTTTTGCATATGTCCCTTACAATATTCTGTTGGAACATATACAAATCACAGGAGTTTTTAGCAAACCTTTTCCATATGGGAAGGTTTTAAAGTATATTATTGTTAAACAAAGCGAGTTTGCAGCAAAAGGCACGAACAGAACGAAATGTTATTATTTATGAGTACCGTTAAACTATTAATAAATGAGACTGAAAATTTAATTGATAAGACAATTGAATGCAATAGAGTCAAAACCACGATTTTAATATGCATAAGTTAAATAGGAATACATACAAATTTGTATGTTGGTAAAGTTGTTTATACGTAAATAAATTACGTTTTTTGTTTGTTTGTTTTTTTTTGCTGTCATGTCATTGTGAGTTGTTGTGAGTTGGGCATGTTGGCCTGCAGTTTTCAATGAAGCAGATTTGTCTCAATTCAAGTTAAGTCTGTTTCTTGAAACAAGACGATTCATCTTTTACAAATAACACAGCAGCTTAAAAAACTGTCAAAATGTCAAAAAAGCTTGTTTCATCTGAGATATGACTCAAAACAAGATATTTTTAAGACAGTTTCACTTAACAAGATATTCAAGATGCACTGTCTAAAAACAAGCTCCTGTATCTTACTTAAATCTTGGTCTTTAGGTAATTTTGTCTTATATTAAGTGAGCTGAGATATTTTGACTAGAAATTAGAAAAATATACTTGGCAAGATTTTGAGTTTTTGCAGTGCAACAACAGGATTAACCCACGAGTCCACGACAGAACACTTATGTTTCCAAGAGACATAACAGGTAATGGAGGATGATGATGTGTACACTGTACAGATCACCGAGGGCGGGGTCTAGGCCACAGCCACACTGTCAATCAACCCCCTGTCTCCCGTTCTACGTCACAAAGAGCTGAATCTCAGAACAGCTCGTTCTGAGGCAGTGCATATGATTTATTGAGATTGTAAAAAAACCACTGGGTGGATTTTTATCATTCTAGGGTGGTTTTGCTCACACACTGCCAACACACATTTATGTTCAAACACCATGTAAAAGTGAATTTTCCATAATAGGTGCCCTTTAAGGCCGTAAATAGACTTTCATTTCTCAAACAGTGTGATAAGTCTTAATTTTAGTTGTATAGGTCTTAAATTAAGGAAAGACGATGTGCATTCATCCTGCTGAGGGGGATGTGATAAAGCCTGGAGTGGAGCGAAAGCTCATGGTCCACGCTCATGATCCATGGTCGCTCATGGTCCACTCCGGTTTTTCAATTCCCGCTCATGGAAAAACTGCTCTATGTTCACTCAATTAATCTTAGTTTTTGAGAAGTGCATGTCAGGCCACAGCTCGTTTGCTGCGGTCCCATGATAGAAGACAGAATGCGGGTCAATATTGGTCGTTTCTCAATACCAAGTACGCAAACTTCGGACTTGCGTCCTTGGTAGTCGTTCGGACTTGCCAAGTTCGACTCGGGAGAACGAACTCCCGAGGACGAGAGGACGCGATTCTGCTAATGGAACAGCGCAGCTACTCCGGTTATCTCTTTATGTATAGGCAACAATAAAATGAAATATGGTATAAAATAAAACTCTGCCTCGTTTCATCAACAATAAAACGAAATATATATAAAACACACTCTGCCTCTTTTCATTTATAAATGAACATATTATCATAAACATATTAATGGCCACACAAATGTGGTTAAGGCAACGCACATTGAATATCTTCACTGCATATATTTATAACAACACAAAATATAAAACACAACCCTGCTTCTTTTTTTATTTTTATTTTAAAAATATGAAACATTATTGAACACAGAATGACCAGTAAGTTAAAGGGATAGTTCACTTTGAAATTAATTTTTGATATGTTTCAGCTTACCTTAAGGGCATCCAAGATGTAGGTGTCTTTGTTTCCACAGTATTTTTAATTTTGACATTTTTCAGTCAAACCGTTGTTGTCTATCAGTCATACACTGGAGGCTAAGGGGGTCCACCAAAAAGCATGCACAGAGAAGTCAAAATTAAACATGATTTAATGACTCGTAAATGTAAGTACACATTGATGGCCTAAGACACGAAACGAGCATTTTTTGTGAGAAAACGAACAGTATTTATATCGTTTTTACCTCGTGTAATCACAATGACGTCCAAGTAATCTGAACCAGTTGTGCAATGTCCAACTGAACCGAACTGAATCAGTTCAATGTTACGCCGGAAGTGATCGCTTGCGTGTGACGTCACTCAATATTTACACAGAGATTTCGGAAGTTTTACCTTTTATTAAACATATTTAGATATACCGAAATCGTCTTCCATTGCAGTTTCCCATATATCTAAATATGTTTAGTGAAAGGTGAAACTTCCGAAATCTCTGTATAAATAAAGAGTGACGTAGGCGCGCAAGCGATCACTTCCAGCGCATGCGCATACCGAAGCGCCCGTGCCGTCAGGTCATTTTGTCATGCTATGATTACAAGAGGTAAAAACGATATAAATACTGTTCGTTTTCTCACACAAACCGCTCGTTTTGTGTCTTAGGCCATCAATGTGTACTTAGCCTCCATTATATGACTGATAGACAACCTACATCTACACCTACATCTTGGATGCCCTTGAGGTAAGCTAAAACATATCAAAAATTAATTTCAAAGTGAACTATCCCTTTACCGTTGATATCTGAAGCACCGCCGCCAGTGCATATTATCACTACGAATAAAAATGCTTGATTTACTTATGTTAAACGCCCAGTTGGTATTTTTTTCTAATGACATACCATGATGTTTTTGAGCACGTGCAAACGGTGCGTCTAAGTAGGCCTACCAGTATGTAGGTAATTTGCCATGATTTTGTATTAATAAAATGTCAACGTTTTGTAGTTCATATTCATAATCACATAATTTAACTTTTATATCAATTGTGTTACCTGTGAAGCACCAAAGAATCTTGAATTTCAGTATTATTATTACTTAGATAAAACAATTTCACATATTAAAAGCAATATTTACTGCACTGCTCAATTTTATTGTCAGCAACATCATTAGTGCATCATCAGAAATATATATTTTTTCTGTTAAATAGATTTTTTTTCATTCCTCATAATTGGTATTTGTAAAGTAGGATTTTTTAGGGCTGCATAGTATAACCGCTGACAGGGACTTCAATTTCAGTATGCATAGTTCCTATTTTGCTGCGTTCTTGTTTGAACAATTACGTTATCTTGGCATCCGTAATCGCAATTATATATTTGAATAGTTGTGCAGCCATATGTTCAGTGAATATTTCTGTATGTAACATGTATATGTGTTTTTTTTTTTTTTGGTTTTTTTTTTTTTTTTTTTTGCAGGATCAGTGTAGTGGAAGCAGAAATCAATGAGGTGGTTTTGCAAGATTTTGCAGATTTTCCTCGCCCAACCAGCGTGCCCTAATCACACATTACAAGCTTAAACACTGCCATCAGGTAAGTCACTGTCCACTCCCATGCATCTATAAGGATTGTGTGTGTACATTTAGGAGTGAACTGTCTCTGAAGAAGCATTTATCCTGCGAACATAGTCAATGTTTTCAAGCCTCCTCAAAATTGCTTAAAGCAACATCAAATGTGAATTGTGACCTGTGTAATTTTTCAGAGGCTTGCAGTATTTCACAGTATTTTGCTCATATTGCAACACACATTAAAAAGAAAGAGTCAGTGAGGTGCCCCTTTCAAAACTGTAGTTTCCAGACCAGTGTGTGGAGCACTTTCCGTGCTCACAAAAGTAGGAATCATCGCCACAACACTTTTCAAGATTTTCGAACAGACTTGTAACAACCTTGCATTCCTGATGATTCAAACCCTGAAAATGCAGACTCTTGAAGATTCACAATCTCATCATTTAATGTTGTTTTTAGTTTTTTATTGTTTTTATTAATAATCATAATCATTAGTATTATACATGTGATTTATACTTTTCATATACATTTTTTATACTTTTCATATATATTCATA